AATCTCCTATTTAAGGAGCTACGAATTGAAATAGAGCATTTAGTTTTCCAGTCAAGAAAAGAGTAAGGAGAGTTTGGGTGGTCTCTTGGACAAACACCCTCTTAGGAGAGTTCGGGTGGTCTCTTGGACAAATCACCCATTCAGTTTCCGTAATCGGGTCTGCAAGCAAGGGAAGGTGCAAGGGGAAGCAGGGCTTTCACACCGTGGACCGACCCGTGACGGGATCCTACGTGCGGGACCATAACAGAGGCAACCGCCATGCACGTTGACTATCCTTCGAAATGTTCGTGGGAGTATTGGGATATGCATGTTGAATTTGTCGGCAAGCACCTCTCGCAGGTCACCACCTGGACCTCAGTCAGGCCAGCACGCCCTCGAGGGAGGTTGCTCCTTGCATCGAGGTCACTTCGGCCAGTGACGAGGTGCTTCTAGCCGACCTGAGTTGTGGTTGAAGTCGCTAGGTCGGCATATACGCAGGTCGCCAGGTCGCCTGCTAGGACACCATCATCTTGGCTAAGGCAAGTTGATACTTAAGTGGTTCTGGGTGTCACCCAGTTGTTCCAAGATACCATGTGTCACAATGTTATTAGAGGACCAAATCCGCCCTCACATCACTGGTTGTCTTGCTCACTTGTATGGAACAACCAAATACTTCACATTAGTCCCGAGAGCCCTAAACATCAAAATTGCGGAAATTCTATTGCTTTTTTTTGTTATGTGTAATTCAGTTGGGCAATTTATATGCACAAGACTGTTCCCAGATGAAATATGTAGACTATTTTTTTTTCTGTTGAATTGAAGCTTGTTAAAAAACTTATAATTTTATATGGTTTTTGATGAATTGGACCTTGTTCCATATGTGAGATTTCTAAGCTTTTTGCAAATAAATACTAAAGTTTCTGTAGCGACCATTTAGAAATCATCTTACCTTTTCCACGGCCAATCGTTTTGGTTAAGTCAGAATTACTTTCTTCCTATACAGCCGAGCTATTAAAGCTTTATAAACTATCTAAAATGTGATAACTGATAAGTGAAGGGAGGAAGAAGAGCAGTTCATCCCTTTAAGGATGAAACCAGAAAACAAAAACCCTTAAAATCCTTTAAATCCCTGCAGCAATGGAACAAAAAACCCCTAACGAGTTCACTACTTTTAAGAAGGGTCACGCATTTGTTATTAAAAACTTGGCATTATATTTTTTCTTTCCAAAATCTCCAAGGTAATGCAAATGGCAGCACCCGCTTCAGGACCTGGCCTTGATTTCCAGAGGCATAGTAATACCAGTCTGTCATATAAGCATGTCCGTTTTTCTAGTGTAAGAATAGAGTGAAAATGGACGTCCAAACAGTTATGCAATTCTGAGAAATCAAACAGTTATGCAATCAAGTGGTTCACAGTCAATGTTATCAAGATAAGCTAACATGAAGAATTGGGTTTTTACCCAATTGGCCAAGCCTCTGAAAAATAACCAAACATGAAGCAGACATCAGCTTTTTTGCTTTATACCCAAGAGTCCTTAACTGAGAGAGTTGGAGTTTCTAAATGAGCAACAAGGGCTAGCATTGGCTCGATATAACCTGATAAGCCAAGGCCTTATAGTTATAGTAATCCTATATGATAGCTCCTTTTGCAACCAGATTTTGTATAAGGATGGGAAACAAAGCATAAAGTTCTGGAGTAACATCATGCCTGGCCTCAACTTGAAGAGCATATATCTGAGAAGTCTCACAAATGTTTGGGGGATGCCATACCAACTTACCAAGTGTCAGGTGTCAGCAATTTGTCCAACTCTCCATCCCAAGTATTTAGCTTCATAGCCATTAACTATATCTGAGATGAAGCTCAGACTAATATCCTATTAGGTGTGTGAGCTGCAACCAGATTTGTAACCATGACATTGCAGGACAGAGTGTCAGATAATTGAACTATAGTTCAAACTCTGTATCTGTATCATTGTATTCAACCTAAGAACATCAGAGTTTAATACATACTTCCTCTATGTTTATAACTGTATCTGGCCATAGTTCATTTAATAACTAGAGTTTCTGAACTGAACTTACACGGTCATCCATTTAGGTGGTCAATACTTTTGGAATTTGATTTGTTTGTACTGCATTAGTACCGACAGTTTTGTTAAATTGATGCTGGCAATTTAGCAAGCTATTAATCAGAAAAAAAAAAGTGATGCATTTGTAGCACAATTTCTAGTATTTACAGTCTTTACAAGGAAAGTATGCAATACCTGGCCCTGATATTGAAATATTATCATATAGATACCTGAATATCCCACTCACAAGTTATGTGGAACTATCTGGGTCTAGTCTCCACCTTGAATAATAAGTCCTTTCTATTTTAGTACATCAAGTCTTACATGCAGCTCAAGTCCACAAATAGACCTGATAAAAGTTGCAGGAGAATGCACATGCTTCTAGATCTTTTTATTTACAAAGTTACCAGGATGGATATATTCATGCCTCTTTTGTTGGTTGCAGAGCAAGTGGCTAGTATTTGCACTTTTTGGGGCTTTCATTCTTTTGAGGCATGATACTGAAGCTTTATGGGCTGCAATGGGGTTTGACATAAATGCATGGCTTTCAATTACCAAAAAGCGGATACTCAATCAAGAGCGACCTGTTTCCACCTTGAGGTCTGACACTGGGATGCCATCTTCACATGCACAGACAATCTTCTTTACTGTCATTTTTGCAATTCTATCATGTAAGTTTTTGTTCTTTGAGACTATATAGTAAGCATGAATCCTGTTCTGCTATTCTGTATTCAGTGCCATATACTAATGGCCCTTAAATCATTTTTAGATATTTCAACCTATGCCCTTTTTGCTCTGCCCCTTGCTCTTCTAGCCCCTTCAACTTGTAATAGATCACTTCTTATTGATGCTACAGATGGTCTTCTTTGTACATTCCCAAACCATCTTAGTGTACTTTTCCTCATTTTATCACCCTTTGGAGCTGCTCCTAGGCTCCTTTGAATAAGTTCATTTCTGATCATATCCTTTATAGTTTTCCCATTCATTAGATATGTTGTTTCTTGATTCCCCATCACTATGCCTTATACTATTTTATAAAATTTTCTAGTAAGGCCCATTTAAGATGGATTCTTCTAAATGAGTAAAATTCCTACATAAGGCACGTGCTGGATTCCAACACTCAATCTTTCTGTTCTAATTTGAGGCTTCCTTTTTTTTCCTTCACTGCATGGGTTAGGCAAAAAAACAGATAATTATTCAGTTATGCCTATTTTATATAAATGATACATGCACGTTAACTTGTTCTATATTACCCAGTTTGCGAACTCAATAAAGATAAGTTTGATCAGTGATTGTTTTCAGCAATGCTTGGTAGGAATTGGGAATTTTGAGAGAAACAACATGATGAATCTAGTATTGGGAATAAACCCAATATTTTTCCTTGTGAAAATTAGGGATATCTGAACCAATAAACAATAAGTATGCAGCAGCAATAAAACAAATAACCAAACCAGAGCAAACAACAGTAATGGACACCAAATTTTTACGTGGAAAACCCCTCAATGTGAGAGTAAAAACCACGGGACCGAAGTCCAAGTCATCCACTATCTGCAATAGTAATGGGGTATATTGTTTTTCTATCTAGTTATAATTAGATGATGAACCTCAAGAAAACTCTTGGATACCAATAATAGAAATCATCATTAAAATGGATAACAAACAAATAATTTCTCACCAAAGGTGGAAGCACAACAATGGAAGTAAGAGGAGTTGCTGAAAACGGATTTGTCTTCTTCATTTCAGCCCTTGTAACTCTTCTTCTTCTTCCCAAAACCTTCTTCTCAAAACCCTTTTTTCTATTTTCTGATATTTCCTAGAGAGCTATTAGAGTTGAGAGAGTAGAGAAAGTGCTCTCTCCAATTCGTTGGTTAGCCAAGGATGTGTTGGCTTGCAAGGCAAGCCAATGCAAAAAGTTCATTGACTTTGCAATTCCTTCTTTTTTTGTCTTTTTCTTTCTTTCCTTTTTCTTGCCTTTATTAGTGGGTCCCTGCTCATAAGGAGGGAACCCCAACAATCTCCCCCTCTCGACTTATGAGGAGGGCTGCACCATGCCCAAACTTGCAATGCTTCTACAATATTCAAACTTTTCTTTCGGTAAGGCCTTGGTCATCATGTTTGACCCATTCTTGTTAGTGTGAATTTTCTCAAATTTCCTTCCATTTCTTCAAGAACATTCGGAATCTAGTGATACCTCACATCAATATGCTTGGACTTAGAATGAGAGCTTGGATTCCTACATAAGTGAATGACACTCTGATTATCACAATGAATTGTAAATTTTTCTTGTTTCAAACCAAGTTCATTTAAGAACCTCTTCATCTACAATATCTCTTTGCAAGCCTCTATGACAGCTATGTATTCAACCTCTGTAGTTGACGAGGCTACACATTTTTGCAACTTGGATTGCCATGACAATACTACCCCAGCAAAAGTGAACAAGAAACCTGATGTAGACTTTCTAGAGTCAATGCCAGCTACCATATCAGCATTTGTAAACCCTTCAAGTATAGGTTTACCACCACCAAAACACAAACATACTTTGGATGTACCTTTTAAATACTTGAGGATCCATTTCACTACAAGTCAATGCTCTTTTCCTGGATTAGAAAGAAATCTACTAACCACACCAACTACATGTGCTATGTTCGGCCTAATACAAACCATAGCATACATAAGACTTCCTATTACAGAGGCATAGGGAATGTTCTTCATTTCTCCCATTTCTTCCTCATTCTTTAGGCTTTGATCACCAAACAATCTGAAATGATTTGCCAATGGAATACTAACTGGCTTTGCTTTATCCATGCAAAATCTCTCAAACACCTTTTCTATGTATCTTTCTTGTGACAACCACAATCTCTTTGATTTCCTATCACATGAGATTTTCATACCCAAGATTTGTTGAGCTGAACCTATATCTTTCATGGAGAATGACTCGCTTAATTGCTTCTTTAACTAGTCAATCTTTGTCTTATCTTTTCCAATAATCAACATGTCATCAACATATAGCAAAAGAATGATAAAAACATCACTAGAAAAATACATAGTGAAAACACAATGATCTGAAGTTGTTTTACCTTACCCATGCTCTGTCATGAAAGATTCAAACTTTTGGTACCATTGCCTTGGAGCTTGTTTCAAACGATAAAAGTTCTTCCTTAGTTTGCAAACCATATGTTCTTTTCCTTTGACTTCAAATCCTTCTGGTTGTTCCATGTAGATGTCTTCTTCCAAGACACCATGGAGAAAAACTATTTTGGCATCTAATTGTTCAACCTCCAAATCCATACTTGCAGTCAAGCCCAATACAATACGTATTGATGACATTTTTACCATTGGAGAGAAAATTTCATCAAAATCGATGCCATTTTTTTGTCCAAATCCCTTTACAACCAATCTTGCCTTGTACCTTGGTTGTGAGCTCTTATCTTCATGCTTCAACCTGTACACCCATTTGTTCTTGAGTGCCTTCTTACCCTTGGGTAGTTCCACCAAATCATAGGTATGAATCTTATGCAAAGAGTCCATTTCCTCTTGCATAGCCTTGAACCATTCTTTCTTGAGGCTCATGATAGTTTTCGGGTTCACCTGCATTTAAAAACATTATGTACTCATTTGGTGGATATTTGCTCAATGGTTGGCATTCCCTAGTTGATCTTAATTCAGTTGGTGGCTCTTGGGGGGGTTGCTCCCCTTGTTCATCATCACCGTCAACATATTCATCGAGAACATTCTCATTAATTTTTGAGTTCACATTTTCTTGTTGCACATCTCCTCCATCATTTCTGTGCACCAAGGGAGGAGACATTGGATCCAAGTCTACAAGTTCACCATCATTTGCTTGAGGCTTCTCAACTTTTTCAATGTCTTCAATTGTTTGGTTTTAAGAAATACTACATCTCTACTTTTGATGATTTTCTTTCCCATTGGATCCATAGCCTGTAGCCAAACTTTTCATCTACATATCCCAAGGAAACACACTACTTGGTTTTGTCATCAAGCATAGACCGTTCATCCTTGGGTATATGCACAAAGGCCCTACAACCAAATACCCCGATATGATCATAGGAAATATATTTTCCTTTCCATACCCTTTCAACAACATCACCATTCAAAGGAATTGTAGGAGACAAATTAATCAAGTACACAATTGTACGCATTGCTTCTCCCCAATAACTTGGCAACTTTGCTTGTGATAGCATTCATCTAATCTCTCTAAAATGGTGTGGTTCATTCTCTCAGCTATACCATTTTGTTGTGGGGTCTTAGGGATTGATTGCTCATGTCGAATGCCATGGTTTTTACAATAATTCTGAAATGGACATTCATACTCGCCACTATTGTCAGTACAAATACACTTGAGAGGTCTACCTGTATTTCTTTCAGCCATAGCATGAAAAACTTTAAAGTCATCTAGTACTTGGTCTTTAGATTTCAAAGCATAAGCCCATACTTTTCTATTAGCATCATCTATGAAAATAACAAAATAAGATGCACCACCAAGAGCTTTGACTTTCATAAGCCCACAAACATCAAAATGAATCAATTCTAAAACATGCTTTCTTCTATGAGGAGAGCTTTGAAATGAAACTCTATTTTGTTTACCAGCTAAGCAATGAACGCAAGTATTAAAATGCGTACCTTTCATGCCGGTTAACAGATTTTTCTTGGCAAGAATTTGCATTCCCTTTTCGCTCATGTGACCCAATCGTCTATGCCACAATTCGGCAGAGATTTCCTTCTCCATGATGTTCATTTCACCTTTGCAAGCACATCCTTGTGTACGGTAGAGAGTGCAGCACCTATTGCCTTTTGCTACCACTAGAGACCCCTTGGATAGTCTCCATTTTCCATTGCCGAATTGATTATTAATGGCATTGTTTCTTGCAATGAAAACATGTGATGTCTTTCCTTGACTTGGAATTGCCTCTAGACTTGTTACAGTTATGTGGACCCCTTCTTTGGCTTTTACCCCAGCTTTTTGTAAGAAGAGCATATGATTTTGGGTCAATAGATTTTCTTCTAATTTCTTCATTGAGCAAACTGCTTCTTACCATGCTTGTTGTCACTATTCCATCAGGTGCAGAGTTATTGAGAGATACTACAAGTGTTTCCCAACTTTCCGGCAATGAACTAAGTAATAATAGAGCTTGAAGCTCATCATCCAACACCATCTTCATTGAAGCTAATTGATTTACAATATCTTGCTTTTGATTCAGGTGTTCGGTGATGGATGTACCTTCCTTGTACTTCAAATTTACAAGCTTTCTAATTAGGAAAGCCTTATTGTCGATAGTTTTCTTCTCATACAATTCTTCCAACTTGTTCTAAAGTGGAATAGTTGAGGTTTCATTTGCTACAAGGTGATAGACGCTATCATCCAACCATTGTCTAATAAAAGCAATTGCTTTTAAGTCAAGGAGTTCCCAATTCTCATTTGACACGTCTTTTGGCTTGCCATTATCACTTCTCATAGGTGCATACAAATCTCTAGAGACAACAAATCCTTCATTTTTGGTTTCCAAAGAGATCAATTTCTTCCATTTAATAAAATCATTCTAACCGAACCTCCTTCCATGATTTACACAAGAACCAAATGCTCTGGTACCAGTTTGTTGGGAATAAACCCAATATTTTTCCTTGTGAAAATTAGGGATATCTGAACCAATAAACAAGTATGCAGCAGCAATAGAACAAATAACCAAACCAGAGCAAACAACAATAATGGACACCGAGTTTTTACATGGAAAACCCCTCAATGTGAGGGTAAAAACCATGAGACCAAAGTCCAAATCATCCACTATCAAAAATAGTAATGAGGTACAATGTTTTTCTATCTAGTTATAATTAGATGATGAACCTCAAGAAAATTCTTGGATACCAATAAAAGAAACCATCATTAAAATGGATAACAAACAAGTAATTTCTCACCAAAGGTGGAAGCACAACAATTGAAGCAAGAGGAGTTGCTGAAAATAGATTGGTCTTCTTTGTTTTTGAAAGAATGGTAGGATCCATCTAATGGATGCCATAAAGGTTGTGGAATGGGTGGGCGAATTTCAAAAATTTTCCTACCTTCTCACAACTGGGAATCATATTCCCTAAATTTAGAATACAATATTCAAGGATCCTACTTGAACCATAATCAAACTAGATCTGAACCAAAAGATAAAAGGGAGGAATATACCTGATCCGGAGAAGTAGTATCTCCCAAAATTGGTGTTCACGCCCAAAGAATGCACCAAGATCCGTTCCTGCTAAAGATGACACAACTGTGGATGGAACAGAACCAGCAGGGTGCGTCCTACACACTGGACCCTACGCAAGAATCCTCTAGAAACTCTGAACACCGAATCTTCTTCAGTCTTTCTTGCAAGACTGATGTCAAGAACTAATATCTTGACTTCCTATTGTTGCAAAGATTGAGTCTTGCAATAGTGAATGGCAGTGGCAGGAGGAGAACTCCAGGGACGAAGATGGCTGAACTGCTTTTCTTCTCTCTGGAGTATGAATGAGATCTAATCTCAATTCGCAGGGAGTTTTTTTTTCACAAAAGACCCTAGTTCGAATTCTGATGTATTTTTCTTGTTTTTCTCCTCCTTTCTTCTTGATTAAGAA